CAATGATATTAGGATGCCTTAATTCCCGCAAAACTTTTACCTCCCTAACGGCTGATATTTCTATCCCCTGAAATCCTATTTCTGTTTGTACGAGCTTAATCTTTTTAATAGCCACTGCACGTCCAGTTTCACGATCTTTCCCTAAACGCAAAATTTGAAAACTCAATATTGCTTTTCCAAAAATTTGAAAGAGAACGCGATGTTATACCTTTGTAAACCTTTGCATAAGTTCCTTCTCCTATTTTCTTTTCCTTTATATACTTGCTCTCGATTTGAAGTTCCTCCTCTTCTGCTAATGACATTTTAGCTGGCCGATAAAATAATTACTATACCAAATATTATATATCGTTGAAAATTAGGGGTACTATTCATGAATCCGACGATCTCATTGGTAGAGAAGTAATTGGCTGTTTAAATCAATTTAATTTTTTAACTACGTACGTACAAATAAATACCAGTAATAGAAAGTTTTATTAAGGTTGTATATAGAACTCTACAATTGAAAAAAATTAAATTTTTATTTTAGAGAAGTTAGCATGTTACTGTAATTACGACAGGGTGAACCCCGCGTAGAAATAATAATTACATTATTGATGAAATCCTACGTACGTACGTACCTAAAAAATAGGGGATGGCATCTTCCCCCAGCGCCGTCAAAATTTTCGCTTTCACGTGACAGTGTTGTGGCGCACAAAAAATCTTTAAGTTTGCTTAACGTTAAGTTAGGGTTAGTGCTTAGGTTAAACATTAGCTGGTTTAAAGACCAGAAACTTAACCTTTTAAACCCACGGAATAACAGAAAATTTAGCGTTAGTATTAAAAAGTATAGTTTTAGGCGTATCAATTTTATTGATTTACCTTCCACCTTTTTTAATATCTAGTAATTAGCTTAGTGATAAAATTTAGTGATAAAATCGAGTCGTCTGATCATGAGATTTTGATTTAGTGTAGGACAAATTCGCAATAATCACATTTTTGGGCAAAATGACTAAATAAAGGCCCATAATGATCACCTGACACTTCAACTGGGCAATCTTCACTTTAAATTGGAGAGCATGGCACCAGCCGGAGTCGAACCTGCGGACATATACATAGACCGTGTCTAGGGGTATTGCCGCGGACCCGCGTTCTAACCGTTAATCCATGTCAGAGTGATCATAAGATTTTTTAAATGTACTCCTTATAAACATAAGATTTTACTGAATAGTCGCATTCTGATTGGACGAAATTATTAATATTTTGGTACTAAAATCTATCTAAAATCGATAAATTTTTTTATTTTAATTATATAGGGATATAGAATCAGAATAAAAAAATTTTCATCAATTTTAGGCCATACAAAGTAGTATTGTTGGTTCTCATAACTGGCCGGGTCACCAAGTCTAAACCAGAAAATGAATTTTTAAGCGCAGTAACGGATTGACCAATATATAAACTATATATTTAATCTACTTGCAATTATAGAAGCTAGTATAAAAAGTTTTGAAAATCCGACCAACTAAATCTGATCCAATAAAATACCACGTATATACTTTACATATTCTTATAGTAAAACAATATATATAGTGGAATATTACGTTCCAGCATTATAGAGGTTTGAATTCTTTTTTTAGGTAATATTGCAACTTCCCAGTTGTTCGTTTGACCAGTGAATATTTTTTTACAAGTACGTTTTTCAAGTTCTAAAGTGTCTTCGCTTATATGTAAAACGAAAAAAAATATGAAATTTTTTACTAGTTATTTAAACCAACTCTTACGGTTTAACCATAATTTTTTTTTTTGCTAGCGTGTTATTCATACTCTAAGGTAGTTATTTAGAATATAATCTCAAAATTGAGAAACTTCACTTAGAAGACAAACTTATTGTCGTCTATTGGACCGTATAAAGTTATACTGTAAAGTAAGATAATTGGCCATTTTTTGCTTAGGATGTTAGATTCAAATAAACTTTTATTACTAACTGTTTAGTTTTAATAAATATAGGATCTTTAGTGATAAAAGTTTAGGTTTAATGTTTGAATTTGTCAGTCTTTGTAGTGTGTTAAGTTGGTTAACTATAAACTTTTTTTTTTTTTTTTTTATACCTTCGCAATGTCACGGAAGGGTGGATTTTTATTAAGTATTTTAGTAGTACATTCTTGGTTAGTGAGAGTACATATAGCCACACGTGCAACTTTTGGTCATCTAATTTAAGTAGTCCTCCCGAAGGTTCTACACTATATGCCATACCTGTAACCTAACTAGGAGATTACCTATTTAAACCCTCTGATGTCTCCGGTCCTGCACCACCACCACAATCATACCAATCCATAACCTCATGCTGCTTCTTATTAAAGACCACCCAGATCAACATCTGTTAACTATAAACTTAAAGTTTTTGTTTATATATATTACTGTATTGTATAAATTTTTTAATAATTTCGAATTTATTAATAATAAATATCACTTTATGTGTATCAATCTATTCTCTGAATATATACAGTATAATAAAATATTATATACAGGTTTTTGGTTTAAAATTTTTTGATATGAAGTTTTTTTTAGTTTTTAGTAATCTTGAAGTGATAAATTTTTAAAATTATATAATTAGATTGGTTAATTATCATGAGTAATTTATATAAATATTGTTTAATTAAAATAAACTTCTATTATGCTTTATATTTCTAATATAAAATTTGCTAAGCAGTTAATATTTTGTCTTTTTAGCAACTCTGTTTTGCACATTTGGAATGTTCTATAGAATAGGTGAGCAAACTCTGCCCACTTCACAACTCTGATATTAAAAAATTAATGATTACTAATCATTAGTGAAGCTTATTTTTTATATTGCCTACCTTTGGGCCCCTTCTTTCTCTCTCTATAACTAATAGTAGCTAGTCTTAAATTAGTTTGCAAATAGAAAATTAAGAGGTAATTTGCTACACTCAGGTGGTTATACAAGATACAATAGATAGTTTAAATTAATATTATCTTGATATAAATCTGTAACTAATCTTATCATGTATACAGCAAATTCAAAAAAAAAAAAAAAAAAAAAAAAAATATTGCCTACCTATTCTATAGAACATCTCAAGTTTATAACTATTTTTGTGATTTGTACATATATAATACTTCTTAATTTATACTTCTTCTTACTTGTCAAATCTTATAGAATTATTTTAAACTATATTTTGTCAGTTTTGTTTTGAGATTCTTCTAATAGAATTGCTTATATTATATTTGCTAATAGTTGTTTTGCTTTGTTTTAGTTATTATTGTACTTTTTATATATTATTAAATGGTTTTGATTTTCTTTTTTATTTTTTTGCAAAAAAGCAGTATGAGCTATTATATAAATCTAGTTTTTTTTTAAATTAAAGTTTTAAATACTAGCTGCTTCTTTTATAAATACTTGATTAATATATCTATATAGTCTGATATTAGAGATAACAAAAAACATGTTTTTATTTTCTTGTATTTTAAAACATGTTTTAAAACATGTTTTAATTGATGATTCTTTAGTGAACTAAAGAATTATTATAGTATAATGCAATACAGTTCTATATATACCATATATAGCTGAAAATAAGCTACTATTTTTGGCCAAAAGTTATACAAAAATTTTACAGATAGTATATCATTGGATAAAAGTGTTTTTTTGCCAATTGCAAAAAATTTTATTAAGTAAATCAATCAAGTGTATTAAGTGTAAGATGTTCAGGAGATCAAAATACATATATTTTAAAAGTTTCATGTAAATCAGATGATTTTTTATTAATTGACTTTTGATTTTTACATTTGATTAAAATAAATTTTAAAGAAATTTTAACTGAAATTTTAAAAAATTCGTCAAATGTAATATACAAAAATATATTAATAAAAAGTTATCCAATTTGGATAAAATTTTCAAAAAATATATATTTTGATCTCCTAAACAACTTTCACTCACTTAATAAGCTATGTCGATTTATTTAGTAAAATTTTGATTTTACTATAGAGTAACTACTAATGATCATTAAGTAGCTTATTTTCAGGTATAAGACATTTTTACATTTTTCTTTTAAAAAGAAGGTCACTTAAAGCCAGGTCTATCACAAGATCTTCCATTATATATAACTAATCAAAATCTATAATTTTTGTTTATATGGATCAGCCTGATGAAGCAAAAAATGTAAAAAATGTGAAAAATACAAGAACCAATATCTAAATCTATCTTGGTACATTAAGAAAAAATATCAAGAGGGGTGTGGCGACTTAGTGTAGTTGGTAAGTTGTCACACTCTCAAGCAGCAAAAAAGAGTTTAAATCCCACCAGTAATGAAATTCAAATTTGCAGAAATGTGTTACAGTAAAACTATATGACATGTCGATCAGGTCAGCACCTATAACTTTGGTCCTATCAACTCGTATTAAGAGGTTGTAGAACATAGTATAATACATAAGTTACATGAAACCTGAGTGAAGCAGCCAAATAAATCCAAGAAATCAGAGGATACAGAAGCCGCTTGGGAAGTTCCGAGTAGAGAGATAGCACAGATCTTTGATAGCACTATGTAAAGGATTATCATCTGAGAAACTGGACACCAAAGGCAAACTGAACGAGGACCGAGTGTTTGGCAAGCACTATACCAACCAGGCTACTAGATTAACCTGAGGAAAAAAGATTCATTCGGAATATCAGGAGATGCCCACTGGTCCCTCCCGGGCTTTGGATTAAAAGTTTAGAGCGCTGATGGTTGGAATCGAAGTACTGTTGATAGTCAGTAAAGTAGGTGCTGGGGTTTTGTGAACTTTGCAAGAGCACAGAGTAGGTAATGGTAGCGGAGATAAAAAGCTACAAGTACTTGGTCACAGCCTAAGTGTAAGTTACCAAAAATCTAGATGATATATGTGTGGAATATAGACCACTTTGATAGGTTTACTACAAGAATAAAGGAACCCCTATATGGTAGTGTGTGTCTGCTTTAAAGTCCTAAGGGGCTTATATAGCAGTTCCTCTTTAAGAAGAATATCCTGACAGTACTAAGTTGATCAGAAGGTTTAATTGGGTAACTCAAGTAATAGTGGGTTATAGGTACAGTATTTAGTGTAGTTCATATGGGTCATATATGCAAGACTGCTTAAATAGACAACCAAAAGTTGTATATATGGCTAGAATGTATCCTTGTTAATGTAACAAAGTTAGGGTAGCACATGTGGTTATCTTGGCATTTGATCCAAAGTTCAATAAAACATGTCAGACCCCAAAGTGATCACCTTAATATTAAAAAAAAAAATATATCAAGAGGATAATTTATATATAAAAACTTTTTAATATTAGTTT